GCGTGAGGGGTGGCACCGAATTTCAGAAATGTGGCAAATCCCCTTTGTTTTTGGACCCTGACCCCGCGGATCTGCGTGAGGGGTGGCACCGAATTTCAGAAATGTGGCAAATCCCCTTTGTTTTTGGACCCGGATCTGCGTGAGGGGTGTCGATTTCGAGTCCCCCCCAGCAATTCAGACAACGCGCCCAGGAGGTGCTAAAATGTCGGTTTGGGCCCCCCCCCCCTCGCGCGGTCAATCAACTAGTTACAATAACCAGCAAGAAGCAGAACTGTAACACTGGAAACTACAAGCTACAACTGGTACAGGAAACTGCGAACCTCGCGCCTACAGCCTGGTGGCCCCACAAGGGGGCCGGCGGATTTCCTGAGAATTCTTGGCGCCTCTTCTCATTTCATTACGGTCCTGCCCCCCCCCCCCCGGGCCGCGCACATGCCGCCGGCCAGGATTTGCGCCCCTTCCTCGTGGACGCCCCCCTCTTGGCCGCCCCCGATAGTGGTGTTGTTGGTCAGCTCCGCTCCCTTCGGTCCTGAAGTCGGCGGCTGCTGATCCAGCTGTCGACCATGGCGTGATGCGGTCCTGATGTCCTCGTCACTAGGCTGCATCAAGTCGAAGACGGTCGGGGGGCCGGGTTTCGGCGGTAGGGTCTGCTGAGGCTGTGGGCTGTGGGTCGTCCTGGCGTCGCGGGGTCTGGTTGTTGATAAACTCGGCCATCTTGACCATTGCCTCGATTGCGGTTTCCCTCCCTGGAAGTTTGTGACAAGGAATGGCGTCGGCGTAGGTGTAGGGTTATGTCGTATGGCCGCCTTGATGCCCATGAGGATGTCTCTCTTCTGACGTACCCCTTCTGCTGGCTCAGGGATATCGTCGCGACCGTGATGCTTCGGGAAATTCAGCATTTGGGCCAGCTGGTGGTTGGCGTAGTTGGCCAAGTTCCTTTGTCGCTGGGCCATGTGGAAAGGGCGTGCCTCCCGCAGCTCATCGGACTTGCAGTATCTGTTGAGGGCCCCTTCCACGTATGCTATGATCTGGTAGTATTCGATGCGGAGGTCCGGGTCCGTTCCATTGTCCCTGTTGGTCTCGCCTGAGCCGATCAAGTCGATCATCTGGTCGATGTAGTCAGCTATCGCCTCGTGAGTACGTATCATGGACATCGCGCTCTCACGGTCGTATCGGTCGTTGCTGATTATGGCGGTCAAGCGCTCGATTATGTCGTGGATGCATTCCTTTCTGCCCACTCCTGTTGTCATGCCTTGTGGCGGTGGGCCTGGGGCTCGGCTTGCGAGCTCGATGGCTGCGTCCCGGTTCCTCTTGGTGTCGGGGTTGGCCTTCGGGATCGTTGCGCCCGCGTTTGGCGTATTTGGGCGCGTTGCACTCCCCTGGTGTCTCCCGTGGTTCAGCCGGGTGGTCGGAGGTGTCTTGGATGGTACCTCCTGCCATGGCTGTGGTGTGCTCGCTTGCTTGCCCTCGCTGCCAAATGCGTCGCCTGGTGTGGTCATTTGTGTGATAGGCGTAGGCGTGAGTATGGCTGGCGGAGCCTTGTAGCGCGGTAGGGGATTCGCTACATGCGTCGGTGTCGCTGGGGCCGTTGCTGTTACCGCAGCTGGTGCTTCGCGTTTTTGGAGATGCGCTCGTACGTCGCTCCTGCTGTCAATTCCCTCGTGGCTGGAGGATGCCGTGCCCTCCGTGGTCGGGGTGATCAAGAGGTCGGGTAGTAATGTGGTCACCGTCGGAGTTTGCTGGCCGTTCCTTGAGGCGTGGCCGTGCATGCGGTCAACCGTAGTGGTGTACTGCTGTGCTGCGTGGATCTCCGCGATGATCATGAGTATCCCCTGCTGGGTGCCGAGGTTGTCGTCCTGTTGGAGAGGAGTAGCTGCATGAGACGTCCGCTGTCGGTGTCGGAACAGTACATAATGTTTCCATGTATTGCCTTCGTGGGATGCATGATATTAATGCCAGCGCAAACATTAACACCGAAAGTATGAACACTTGTATGCTATTGCTCTCTGCGCAAATCCAAAAAGAAGTACATGCCATGCTTTACGTGTTTTCCGCGCACACACACACACGCCGAGATCACAAACTATATGTAACTTGGCACCTGCGCCATGAGCTCGTTCGTTGTAATATTTCACCCTTCCGTTAATTTCAACCAGGCGTGGCTAGTATGTCGGCCATGCAAGATCAATGATACCGTTGTATCTTGTCTATCGCCTTGTATGTTCTGTTCATGCCCCGAGCATGGATTGACCTCGACAGAGAATGGTATCCTCTCGGGTGCCACCTGCAGCCCTGCTTGCATATCATTAATTAGTTGACCACTTTGGCTTTGTTGTTGGCCTGCAGCTGTAAGTTGATCTTATCGGCATTACACCTCTTGGCCAAGTGGCAAGTCGTACAATTGCAGCTTGCTCATTGCATCGTGCACCGAAGGCTAGGAGGGTCGTCGCGCTTGGGATCACGGAGAAAGCAAGGATATGGAAGCCACTGTAATTAGTTGTACGGTTGTGGAGCAGTCGCTTGTGACATCCGGCGACCATTTGTCTTTTCAGGCATTCAAGCGGTTCCGTTTCATCAGCTCTTCATTCAAAACGCTTGCATTGCGGTCAGGGTTGGTGTGGCATTTCTTGATGCCGAACCTCTGTTAGAAATTGCGTCCAGGGCCCTGGTGGCAGAGACGTCACCAAAGAGTCTGGTTTGTCCCAAATCATGACGGAGTGTCGGTACAGACCACATGGGTTTTGGAAGCGCGCCCAATTCCCGTATGGTCTTCAATATTCGATATGTTGTTGTCGTTGCTACCGTTACCGCAGAGAAGACCTTCATGGTATGGGTGTGGGAAAACCCGGAGATGGCCGCATATCAAAGGGCATCAGTGATCTCGCAAGTTTGCATCATGTTTGTGTATGCGGTGTACTTCGTGCTGAGAGCTCACATTGACCCAAGACGGCTGTACGTAATGATGTTGTCGAGATGTACCTCTGCATCCTATTAATGTGGGTCTGCTCGGGATCCTCGTCTGCTGTATGTAGACACGACGCCGTGGAGATCACAAGGTCGGTCGCACGCTCTGCTCCTGATGCTGGGAGTGTAAAGGTAAACGAATCATGTGCTTGCCACTGCAGTTGTCCGAAATACACAAAGGTGGCAGGGAATCAATACTGCAGCCACCTTGGCGCTCAGGGTTCTCGACGGCTGCTGCTCCAGCCTCGGCAGAATATTCGGCAGCACAGGAGCCCCACTGAATTTGGAGTCCGCCCCTGAATGCGGCAAAGCAGGTGGCGACGCAGAGGCCTCCCATCGATGGGTGCGCCGCTATTGGCCGCGGCAGAGCATTTGGCGGCGCAGAGGCCCCACGGGAAGTGGATGCCGCTCCTGCGCCGGCTGGAGCAGCGGTTGGTTGCTTCCCCGCAGGGGCGCCGTTTTTGCTGGTGGCGGTCGTGGGGTGGTGCACCTCCTGCTCGTGGTTGTGAAGATGTCGACGACGGAGCGGCCAAGTAGGCGCCCTCCGGCAAAGTCTGCAGGTCGGCGCGCTCAGTCGTTGTCTACATTGGCGAAAGAAGTCGCTGCGGTGGTGGCGGTGCTGGTGATCCTTCGTGGTCCTCGCCGTCCACGTCCGTTTCCTCGGCTACGGCGCGTACCAATCCTTCATCACCTGCATCGCCTCCCTCTCAATGATCGGAGAGGCTCGGGCGGATCGTTGCCCTCGGATTCGGAGGCGGCGGATTTCTCGCGAGCTGCGCGTCTCGCGGCTGACCTCCCGCACCGTGCGGGGGCTCCTCGATGATTGTGGATGGAGCCTTCTTGGGGACGCTCAGCCTCCTCCTCGCTTTCTCCATTCCTTCCCCGTCATCCCCAGAGTGGCTGGCAGGATGGATGGATGGAGGGAGCGATGATGATGATGATGATGATGATGATGATGATGATGATGATGATGATGATGATGATGCTGATGCTGATACTGATGCTGATACTGATACTGATACGTCTGATGATGATGCTGTTAATGATGATGCGGATGATGATGATGATGATGATGATGATGATGATGATGATGATGATGATGATGATGATGATGATGATGATGATGATGATGATGATGATGATGATGATGATGATGATGATGATGATGATGATGCTGTTGATGTTGATGTTGATGTTGGTGACGATGATGATGACGATGATGATGAAGATTATGCTGCTGATGCTGACGATGATGATGGTAAAGAGGAGGAGGAGGAGGAGGAGGAGGAGGAGGAGGAGGAGGAGGAGGACAGGGCCGAGAAGGAGAGGATTCCTCCCCCTGCTTTGCTGTGGACCGCAGCCCTGGTCAGAACCGCACGCAGGACCCCGCATCAGACCATTTCGCGTGCGGCTGGAGGAGAACTATCAGGCCCATGGCCGCCGCGACGCGAGGGTGGGAGGAGGATGAGGAGGAGGAGGAAGAGGAAGAGGAAGAGGAGGAGGAGGAGGAGGAGGAGCAGCAGCAGCAGCAGCAGGAGCAGCAGCAGCAGCAGCAGGAGCAGCAGGAGCAGCAGGAGCAGCAGGAGCAGTAGCAGCAGCAGCAGCAGCAGCAGGAACAGCAGGAGTTGCAGGAACAGCAGCAGGAGCAGAGAAGCAGTATGAAAAGCAAGAAAAGAGCACGTATGCAGAAGGAGTGGAAGGAGGTGGAGTAGGTGGAGGAGGGCCAGAGCAAACCCAGTATTAATGAGCGTCGCTGCGATATACCTACCCGCTTCCAATACCCTGCTCATTAATCCCTACAAGCATTTTTCTGCGCGAAGCGCCCCCCATGAAAGAGAAGCGCCCCATGGGCCCGAGGTTCAGGCGTGAACTCCATTTTGAAAGCACAGTGCCCTCCATCGATCGAGCAGTAAGGCCTGAGACCCGGTTGGCTCAAGGCATTTTCGGATCAAGTTTGCGGTCCAAGGCAATCGCCGAAAACTACACACACACCTTGATACTTTCAGACCTCATTCGTACAAGTTCGGATCTGGCTGATGAGCATGCTAGTGAAACTCGCCACCGCGTTTTTGGTAGTCTCAGGGGCAAACGGAAAGGACTTCGACTCTTGCCTGATGCAGATGGCTGCAAGCCCGACTCAGGCTACAACCGTCGAGCGGCCACTCGCGGATACCTATGTTCAGTCCTGCCAGTCAACGAATTATGGTACCCAGCAGGTGTTGGTCAACAAGCGCTACTCCGACGGCTGGTGCGGCACTCGATACTCGTTCTTGCAATTCAGCGTTCCTTGCGATGCTCAGGATGCAACGCTCCTGCTGTGGCCGACTGACTATTCTGCTGGTACCTTTCCAAAGGTGGCCGTCTTCACGGTGCAGAACGCGTGGTCGGAAAGCACCACTATTTGGTCCAACCACCCTGGCTGGCAGGAGCAGGTTTGCGATTATCAGGCATACCCAGGCCCAGTCGGGCAGGCGTTCGCATGCACCGTTCCACAGGCGAAACTCGCCGGTAAGAACACCATCTCGTTTGCGTTGGTTGCAGAATGGATGTGGGCGGGGGGCAGTAGTTTTTGGTCTCGCGAAGCCCTCGACGAGAGCACCAGACCGTCGCTGGTGTTCCAGTGTCCTACTGCAGCACCCACGGCGGCCCCGACGAGCAGCCCGACCTCGTCCCCGACGCCCAGTCCGACGAGCAGCCCGACAAGCAGCCCGACCTCCAGTCCGACCGCGTCCCCGACGTCCAGTCCGACGAGCAGCCCGACCTCCAGTCCGACCGCGTCCCCGACGTCCAGTCCGACGAGCAGCCCGACCTCCAGTCCGACCTCGTCCCCGACGCCCGGCCCGACGCCTTCGCCGACTGCGGAGGGCGCACCAACCCCAGCACCGTCGGCATGGGTATCACTTGGTACTGGAATTTGCTCAGGGCATGATCAGGATTGGACAAGTGCCGACGCTTTGGGGCCTGATTAGGATCTCCATCACGGACTGGGCTGGCGCATGTGCGACGGAAGGTCTGACACTCAATGTCAACAGGTTTGTGATGCAACAGCAGGGTGCAGTATGATCTCGAACGGTGGTTGCTGCTTCTTGTTCAAGGGTGACGCATGTAATGCCGATGTTTCTCATTTAAATTACCAGTCTTACCTCGAGGAGCAGAGTGTCGAGCCGGCCACGACTACGACTACGACTGAGGCGCCCACCGCTCCCACTGCCGCCGGCAGCGCTGGCGGCCCGCTGTCCGTCTCCGCCTCGGGGGACCCCCACCTCGTGAACGTGCACGGGCAGAGGTTTGACCTCTACCAGCCTGGGGTGCACTCGCTCCTCCGGATCCCGAAGTCGGGCGGCCGGAGGGCCGCGCCCGCCGTGCAGGCAAGGGCGGCCCACATTGGGGCCGGGTGCGCAGAGTTGTACTTCACAGAGATCAGCATCACGGGCACCTGGGCTCGGCGGCACCGCACGGCAGACCTTCATTGGGCCGCCCAGGACGTGGAGCGAGGCCGCGCCAGGTGGAGCAAGTTTCACCAGATCGGCGTCAAGGTGGTGCACGGCCACACCCTGCTGGGGCACGAGGTATCTCAACGTCCTCGTACGGGGCCTGAACAAGGCCAAGTTCGCCATCGGGGGGCTCCTCGGAGAGGACGACCACACCGCGGCTGCCACTCCCAGCGCTGGTTGCAGGCATATCCAGACCCTCTGAAGCTCGCGAGTGTAGTATGTGGGTGGTGGGCGCGCCCGATTCTAGTTGCTGATGCTTCTGCTATGCTGCTGCTGCCCCCTCGCCCTTGTCCTCCTCCCCCCCTCCCTTTTCGTCTCCTCCCTCTTATCCTCGTGCTCTTTCCTTCCTTTCGCGGTTGTTCGTGTTCGTTCTAAACAGTCTTGTGTTTCCTGAGCTTTCACGCGCAGCTTATTCTTAGCGGCCTTGGCGAATGCCCGCGGCCACTGGACACCACGCAGGGTGCCTTCTGCGACGCGGCAGAAAAAAAAAAAAAACAAAAAAAAAATAAAATAAAAAAAAACAAAAAAAACAAAAAGTTCAAGGAAGCCCAGCGTCAGCCCCAATCTGAAAGATACAGCTCTTTACCTGTTCAGCCGCTCCACAATGGTACAGTTTTGGGAGTGTAACCCAACGACATCTCAAGCTACAGCCCAATGTTAAGAAGAAGCCGCCCTCCACCCATGTAACTACGGCGCAGTGTTACATTCGTGGTTATGTTTGGTGGGCCAATAACAGGCGTGAGCCCCACTTTGACAAAGGATACGCCCTCCATCCGTGGCAACTGCTGTTCTAATATCGAGCTTGCGCGGCGCCAGTGCGAAATCCCCACTCTGACGGCGAAGTGCCCTCCTTCCGTGCAAGGCTGTTTGGGAGACGAGCGTGTGCGACGCCAGGGCGAGAGCCCCATTTTGAAGACGAATGGCCCTCCGTCCGTGTAGCTGCTGGACCTGTTTAAGACGAGCGTGTGCAGCACCGAAAGGAGAGCCCCATGTTGAAAGCGGCCCGCCCTCCATCCGTGTAGCCGTTGGGACTGCACGCCTCAGTGCCGTAGAGAGGAAAGGAAGTCTCGGGCGAAACGCTCCGGGCCCGTCCTCACCACACGCCCGGTGGTGCGACAGGGAGGAGTTGAGGTCAAGAATTTGAGCGCAACGTGTCGTTCCCAAGAGGCCTCCAAGAGGCTCCAGGCTCGAGAGGCCCAAGAGGCTCCGCTTGCGCGCACTAGGTGTGGCGCCGATTGGCCGTCACTTCCCATGGGAGCAGCGCGATGGCTCTGGAGGCCAGGCACTCGCCAGAGACTGTAGAGATCGCGGCGCTCCTCGCCCAGTCCAGCCAAGAGGAAGCGCGGCAATTGCAAGCAGAGATCGAGGAATTGCGTCGTTCTGTTGGAGCACCATTTGGCGCGATGGGCCTGGAGAAGTAGTTTGCCAAGATGGCCTGCGTTGAGGTGTAACGGCACCTCGATCCACTACAGGTGCGGTTGAGCTGTCAGTGCGACGAACTCGATCGTTTCAGCCTTTGCTTCACGCAGCTGCAGAGTAAATGTGATCAGCAGAACTTGCACGGTTCCTGACAACGTACACGCACGATTTTTTTCTCGATTGCGAGGCCGCGGCAGTTTTCGGAGGGCGGCGATTCATCTACGACGCTGAAGCAGTTTCGAATTTCTCACCTGGAACTTTCAGAAGAGACCAGCCAGTCGATATCCTCATGTATTGAAGGATTTGCGTCACAGATACTGTTTGAGCAGAGTCGCAGTTTTGCAAGGTCGGTTGCCTCTCTATGCTCGCACTAGCACTACGGCTTCTATGTGCGAACGGCGGCCTCGAGCGACGTTGCGGTTGATTTGCCGCCCCCACTGGTTTCCAACATTTTGTGGGAACAATTTGAGCTCTACGGTGGGGGCATTGGTTAAGGAATGCGCCCAGGAGGCTTCAGACCCTTGAAGATTCCGTATCTGATGAGGGCGGCAATGACACGCATGGTCAATCCACGATTGGAGTTCCACCAGCTTCCAGGCCCTGGATTCCTTATCCACATGGTTCCTTATCCGGTGCCCTCACCGTATTGGTACGTCGTTGTGGTGGATTTATACGTTCACGCATCGGGGCACGTTCTAGACTACGTTTTTGCTGCCCAGGCTGAGTCTGACACCTTGCAGCAGATGCTTGTCGCCATCGAGACGGCTAGGCTAAAGACACGGAGAGTGGGCAAAACTCCTTCGAAGTTCGTCGGCCGCGATGCGAACGTCGCTCCGCCTGCGAGCGCACTTCTGGTTACAGGCAAATGCGTCGCTCGACCTTTCAAGACGCGCTGGAAGGCCATGCGGCGCACCCTCCGTAAGTTCTTCATGTCGTTTGGGTTTTGTGTGCACAGCACATTCGCAGCGCTTGCTGAGAAGCAGGGGTGTGTGCACCAAGCTGGGCAGGACACGTTCTTCTCGGGCTGAGTCTCAGATCGATGCATTGTGGTCTTCGCTGCCGGAGTCGAATGTTCTTTCTCTGGACCTCGTTGTTGACACATGTGTGCGTTATCAACTGCGCAGCTCAGCCCACGTGCCAGTGCACGGCCGGTCTTGAGTTGGGGCCAATCTGACACACGCTGAGCAAACGTTATATCATTTGGATTTCAAGCAACTGCTTGACATAGCTCGTTCGTGGGACGCTTTCGCCTGGAATGGGGGCGAGGGGCGGGCTGGTATTCTGAATGATTTCATCCAGATCGTTCAACGCGCGTTAGCCGACGAGCGCAGGGGGCCCTCTAGGCGTTGTTCGAGGAAGACGATGTCCAAATTGAGGAGATGTTGATGTCGAGGAAAATGGTGCGGACCAAACGTGAGCAGGCGGAATATTCTCAGCGCGCGCGGATTGCAAGCAAAACCAGCAGTGCCACCTATTGTATCAACAGGAATGGCGGGACGCACCGCATTCCGCGTACGTGTTTGCATATCGACGGCGGGATCACCTCAGACAGGGGCGATTGAAACGATGCGTTGCGTGACTAAGTCCATGCATCATTCGACACCGACGCCATGCGCGTGGATGGGAAAGGGCAATTTCTGAAAAGGTTACGCGCATCTGATCTTGCGGCTCGTCTCGACGGGCATCCCGACGTCGAGCCCAGCTTCGATGATCTGGAAGAACTCGTTAAGATAAAAGGCGGCGCTGGGACAGGAGACGGCATACTTCATGCGCTGGTTTCCCGGCGCAACCCGCACTCGTTTAAATGTAGAGCATATTCGGTATTGCTGGAACGTTTCCAATACGTGAACTGGGATAACAACTCCGTGGGGTTGCTCGGGATAACGAAATTGAAGCAGCAAACCTCCTCTAGGGGTTATACGTTGCTGGGGATGTTGGTCTGTGAGCTGTTTGGCGCCACGGATTTGGTTTCCCCCTGCGCCCGATTCGGCTGACGATTGCTTACCACCGCCAGCCCGGACGCAAGGGTTTCCCCCTGCGCCCGATCCGGCTGACGATGGGTTACCACAGCCAGCCCGGAGACACGGGTTCCCCCCTGCCCCCGATTCGGCCGAGGATGGGTTACCACCCCCGGCCTGGACGCAAACGTTCCCCCCTGCGCCCGCTTCGACCGAGGATGGGTTACCACCCCCAGCCCGGACGCAAAGGTTCCCCCCTGCGCCCGATTCGGCTGACGATGGCTTACCACCGCCAGCCCGGACGCAAGGGTTTACCCCTGCGCCCGATTCGGCTGACGATGGGTTACCACCGCCAGCCCCGGAGACAAGGGTTCCCCCCTGCCCCCGATTCGACCGAGGATGGGTTACCACCCCCAACCCGGACGCAAGGGTTTCCCCCTGCGCCCGGCCGCCGTCGTCGTATCGTCGTCCTCACCTCCTGTTCCTCTTTTTCCTCCTCACCTGATGGGTCGGGCAAATCGCCGTCTGAAGAGCGCATAGGGAGGGGGCTCCCGCCTGAGAATTCCTCACAGTTCATGCACAGACGAGGCTCCCCGCCTGATACTTCTTCCATATTCAGGCTTTGGGAGCCCAGAAGTGACGACAGTTTACAGGGTTGAGGATGACGCATTCGGATTGAAAACATGAAGTGCGGGCCCCATAGGGAGGGGGCTCCCGCCTGGGACTTCCTCGCAATTCACCCACAGGCGAGCCTCCCGCCTGATACCCCCCCCCCCCATATTCAGGCCACAGGAGCCCAAAAGTGACGACAGTTACACGTTCGAGGATGGCCCGTTCGGATGGAAAACATGAAGTGCAGGCCCCATCGGGAGAGGGCTCCCGCCTGAGACTTCCTCGCACTTGACTCGCAGACGAGCCTCCCGCTTGATAGTCCCCCAAAACTCGAGCTAGCGAATTAGTGGGTGAGTGAATGAGAGAATGACTGAATGAGTGATGATGGTGGTGAGGATGATGCAGATGATGAGCGAATGGGTGAGTGAGTGTGTGATCGAGTGATGGTCAAGGTGATCAAGATGGTTTGTGAGTGAGTGAATGTGAGTGTGAGTGGGCGTGTGAGTGATGACGGTGATGATTGTAATGATGATGAGTGAAAGAGTGAGTGGGAGTGACTGAGTGAGTGAATGGTAGTGATGATGTTACTCATGTTGATGATGATGTGGTGATGATGTTAGTGATGTTGGTGGTGATAAGTGTGTTAGTGATGGCGACGTGATGACTGAGCGAATGAGTGATGATGAGTGAGTGAGTGAGTGAGTGAGTGAGTGAGTGAGTGAGTGAGTATGTGAGTGAGTGAGTGAGCGAGTGAGCGGGTGATGATGTAGTGCGTGTTCTGGTTCCTGCGCGGGGTGTCCACAGAAAACAAGAACCCCACTTTGGATTTGGGGGAAAGACATCATAATGTTGACCAACCAGTGCATCCCCATTAAGAAGCGCATCGCCAGGTTTGACAAGGTAACGGTCGAAATCCTGCGATCGACGGTTGTTGCGCGGGCCCCAAATCAGGCAATTGCGAAGTTTCTCGGCTCCAAGCAGATAGAGATGACGGCTTGTATTCTCCCAGAAGAAGAAATCTCATGAATACTATTATGGCACCCGCTGGGTATGTAGGATGCGAAATCTTTTCAGGACACAGCGGTCCCAGGTGTTCCCGCGGTCCTCGTTGTCTTGGCTTTCCCATGTTCAATGGCACACGTCTTCTTCAGTCTTTATACATGATAACGAACAAGATTCAGATCGGGATGAGTCCCAGCGATCTGTTTGGGTGTCCCCTAGCAGTGTTCGCGGTAAGATTATCACGATGTCGGGGAAGGGTAACGTGATCCGATGGGAATGGATGGTCCCGTCGTTTCGAACCCTCCGGCACCCGCGATAGCAACGCCAACAGAGCCCTATGTCTGAGATGTCTTCTTCTCTTAGCTGGCAATAGCACAATGCCAA